GGCCCACCTGTTGTATGATTTCCCTCTTTTAATCATCAAGGAGTCATTCAATAACCTTTAGGGGTAAGCTTTCGCTGCTGTCACAGCTTCGTCAGACCTTTACACAGGGGGGGGGGGCAAAAAAAAGTCACTTTGCCTCATTGACTTTCGAGGCGCTATAAATTACACTTTATCAAATTCTGATCGGACATTTTTACTACCATATTGAAGAGCATATTAAGTACTATCATGACACTCCGCCACAGCCTTCTGGACGAGCGCCATCGAGAGATTCTGGCACGCGACCGCGATGTGGTACCTGAGATCAGCGGGGTAGTCGATTTCTCCGCCACCGTAGACCACCCATTGAAGTCCGCCCGAACTAGGTAATTGAGTGGGTTCAGGTCAGGGGACATACTTCAATATTACATCTTCTTCAGGTACGAAACGCCCTTCCATTCGAAGTAGGCGGGAGTTTTTCCAAAACCCTTTGATTCCATGTGGTGGCACCCAAACCTGTAGCAGCACAAGGTCTCCAAGAAGGTACGGGCGACCACATGTAGGGAGGATATTCTTCTCGAGTTACTTGATGTAACCGCCAGCGCTCACCTTCAGTCGGGGTCTACAAAGAAAATATCGGTCTTCCCCTTTCCAGGTACCCCGGTCCATACCATCAACTCGCGCCTCGGCGAATACGGTGAAGATGATGTCCTAGACCGTAGCGACGTTGCCGTAGCTGCTCGATGTGGGAGGTCTTGCAGATCAAGAGTACTGACCTCCAGGTAGCTATCTGTGGATGACTTCATTCAAGAAGTTTCGCAGCTGTTTGGAGGCGACGTGAATTCCAAAGGTGTTCTCCAGTCAGGCCGCGACTGGAGATGACTTCATATTTTGGTGTACATGAAGGCGATTGGCGGCAGCCTGCTCCAGCTTATAGAGGAAGATCTTGGGTATCTTCCACCTGGTACTCATATCCACTTCCCCTGTCTGGGCTGCGAAAACTTCGTTGATATGTGGCTCGGCCGAAATGACTTTTTTTGCCCCCCCCCCCTGTATACAACATATCAAGCATACTTGCATTACAACGTTTAACAAGGACTGAGTTATACAATAACTAACCAGGTTGGCAGGACAACCAACAATGTTCTGCAATACAATGTATGCAAACAATTGCTACTAAGGCACAACATAATAGAAGGACTCTTACCCCAACCACTGCCTATATAATTGAAAGTCACTAGGAATGCAACTTGCGTGAAATCTCGTCTCACATTTCCAGTGACTTTCGCTTGTTGGGGTAAGGTCCATTTATTCTTTGTCTTAGTAGTAACTGTTTGCATACATTGTATTGCAGAAATTGTTGGTTGACCTGGTTAATTATTTCTATAACTCTGCCCTTGCTAAATGTTGTAATGCAAGTATGCTTGACATATTGCACTGGTTTAACGAAGCTGTTAAACAGCGAAAACTTACCCATAAAGGTTGTTGAATGAGTCCTCAATTATTAAAAGAAGGGAATCCTGCAAGAAAGAGGGCTGAAAGGGATGCTCGCTTCTTGAGTCAACACTTTATTTAGCCACTCAAAAAGCAGTAGACGGAAAACCTCAAAAATTACCTGACACTCTATGTAGTCACCTAAAAAACAGTAGAAGAAAATCTCCAGGGATTCAAGGGTGCCAACTTCTATAATAGTTCAAAATAATCTCCATCAGATGCCACAGAATTCAACGCCGATGCGTTCCACCAATAATGAAAAATTTTTTATGAAGAAAAAAATAATATGCACTAAGGTAGAAACATTGTCTGCTAAAAAACCGCAGTGCTTTTTGTGGCAACATTATCTTTGACCAGTAACAAATGAGGACCAAACTGGAAACTGCAGCCACAATTCCAAATGCCCGTTAGACGAACAGAAGTATAAACAAGTATTTTGCGCATCTAACACACCAGTAGCACGTCTCCTCAAACTTGTAGTGATGGCAAACATCTCGAACATATTTAAGACTACTCACCAGCTTGCAATCGGATTTTTCTAACTGCCAGTCTTCTTTGGGGCCCATTTTGGTGTTAGCGAGGCTCGACGGGAACGGGACCAGCTGAGAAAACGCCTCGTTGTCGGAACTGTAAAAAAATAGCTGGCAAAATACATGTGCTCTGAATCCTGTGAACACGCGGAGCTTTATCATCAAACAAATGCAAGCATTGTCAACGTGAAGGCAGCGCCCAGACTTCTAGCGTTGTAGTACGCCTAGCGCTACAGTTGCAGCGGTACAACTGCACCAGACCCCAGCTTCCCTTTATGTTCTTTCTTCCGGTATTCAATCCTTTTTCACTGTTTCTCATTTCTACCTGATTCTTAGCTCCTCTTTTTCACTTAACATTGAATTTAAACAGAACAAAATTTAAACATAACAGAACATTGAACAGAACGAAAACAATTTCGTAATCGGGATCCATGATAGGCATCAAACTTTAATAGCAACCCTGAGACTAGATAATTAAAGTCGAAAACGGTATACAAAATCATTATCAGTGTCCTGTATCAAAAACTACATTAAAATTCAATGTAAAGTGAAAAAGAGGAGCTAAGAATCAGGTAGAAATGAGAAACAGTGAAAAAGGGATTGAATACCGGAAGAAAGAACATAAAGGGAAGCTGGGGTCTGGTACAGTTGTAGCGCGACAACTGTAGCGCTACAAGTCTGAACGCTGCCTAAGTCAGCGCGAAATAAAGGGCCAAAGAAAAGCATTTGAAGCGATGTGACGTTGGTCGAAGGCTTTATGAAGTACATCGCTGGGACCGTAATTTTTTGTTTCGGGGAGAAGGTAGGAGAAGATGAAGCTAAGTGCATTTTGAAAAGCGCGTTTACAGTTTGCGATTAGTCGCACGACGGCACGAATCAATCGATTATTCGCTAACTAAAGGACACTTTAGACCGAAAGTATTTCTTTTGCTTCTAATTCAAATATCAGAAACAAACAGGTCACATCCAAACTACGTGTCATAAGTGACAATAACGGGCCAATTTTAAGCCACGGACTGCAGGCGGTGATGGGAAAAAGCCGGTTTATTCGCAGAAGTGATGCAAAACTGAGTGGCTTCCATCCTGCGAAGCACGTTTAATACGACTCTGGGTGCAGTTTAAAGGGTGTTAGGCCGATGTGAAAATACTCTAATTTTTGTGTTTAATTCTTTTTGTGCCTTCGAGGTTGTTAGGTGGAACTGTTTATTAACGGCCTAACGTTTCGACCAGATCGTCGTCCTCGGAGGCCTGAACATAGCTCAAGATTTCTAATTTGCTTTCTAAACCGTCAAACGCCTCGTCCCCCTAGCGTTTCTGACAAAACTTCTAGGAACAACCGAAAATATCCCGTATGTATAACCAACTCACCAAGTCCACCGCGGCAGGAGCGGAAGAAGCCGCCCAGTCAGTTGTTAGTAGTATTTGTGAGACTCACTGTGCTGTCCTTACATATAGTAATTATATTCAAGACTTGCACGTCTCACTGCTTACAGTAGCTGGCAGTGCGGTGAAAATGGCAAGAGATCATTTGTTATGGATAAACACTCATTTCGGTTGTTCATTCTAGGATTCCTAGCAGAAGGCGTGGTAAACTAACAACACCGGTGGGCAG